GAACATTCAGAAGATTATCCAAAAACGACTGGAACAACACATCAACAGAGAACTACCAGAAGTCCAGGCTGGGTTTAGAAGGGGTCATGGTACTAGAGATATTGTAGCTGATGTTAGATGGATCTTGGCTGAAAGCAGGGAATACCAGAGGAATGTCTGTGTTTTCTGTCCTGCGTGCAGCAGGAGAACCGCGAGGCAGAGGCAAAGCGCTTGGACCTCTGCCCAACGCGCTGGGAGCGCTGGGAGCCCTGAAGCCCGTTTGCCAGAGGTAGAGAGTTCAATCCCAACTCAAGCAGGTCTGTTTGCGGGGAGCCGCACACCTCCAGCCTCGCATCCAGACTTCCACGGAGCCCTAGTGTCACTGAAAAGTACCACATGGGTGGAGATTTGCCTCCTCCGAAGCATCGCTGTCTGAGGCTTCTGCTGGCAGGCCTCCAGCTTTCGGCTTGGCTTCTCTCAGACAAGCCTGGGCTTGTGGGACGAGACCTCCACGGGTGAAGCACAGGGCTGGTTATTGAACGTGGTGCGGCGGGCACTGTGCGTGTCTGAACCATCACTGCTTTAGATCAGCGCTAGAGGGAAAGGGACCGCGCAGCACACCACCCAGGATGGGGTACCACCCAGGATGCGGCATCGCCCAGAATGGGGTAACACCCAGAATAGGGAACAAAAGTAGGGCTTCGCACTTAGCCATCTCCTTCTGCCAGCTCTCTAGACCCTAGAATATTCCCTCCTCTCTTCTGGAGCATTGAGAAGGGCCAGCTACTGGCCTTAGAGAGGCTTGTACAAGCTGGGGCCTTTTAGTGTTCTGGGATCACCTAGTGCGCCACAGTTGCCAGGCACCCATCAAATGCAGCCAGTCCTGCATTTTGGGGCCAGACTTCGCTCACAAGTGATCCTAGTGCATCGACTTGATGACCACTTGTGATATCTGAGCAACACCCACTGCCAGGACTAAGGAATGCTGATACAGTAGTGGGTGGGTTAAGGGCTGATCTCTTAACTAAAAGGTCAGTAGCTCAAAGTCAGCAGACCGCGGGAGGGAGGCGGGGGAATGTGGCTGTCAGCTTCTGTAACGATTACAGTCTTGGAGAACTTACGGGCACTTCTACTCTGCCCTGTTGGGCCACCATGGATCAGAATTGACTCCGAGGCAGTTGTCTTTGTTATGTAACATCAAATATACTAGGAGTTGTTGTGTAGTAGGAATTTACCCATAGCTGACCCTCTGGAGGGTTTTCAGAGGCAGTTAATCACAAGTGAGGAGATTGCCCATCCTTCTATGGAGCAGCTGGTGGTGACCCAAAGAACTAGTTTTGAGACCTGCCCTATTCTGTGCCATTATCACCACCTCTGATAATATTTTAACTCATAGTTACAGTCATGGTGTCAGTCCATACCTTGAAGGTCCTCCTCTCTTTCACTGACCCTCCACCTTTCCAAGCATGATGTCCTTTTCCAAGGACCAGCTCCTCCTAGCAACATACCCAAAATATGTGAGTGACAGCCTCACCATTCTTGCCTCTGAGGAGCACGCTGGCTGTACAAGACTTATTTGTTCTTTTGGCAGTCCATAGGCTAGTCAACATTTCAAAGGCATCAATTCTTCTGTCATCCTTATTCATTATCCAACTTTTAGGTGCATAGCAAGTTAATTGAAAAGACCATGGCTTGTACCACGTGCACTTTTGTCTTTAACACCATTGCTCTTTAGCACTTTGAAGATATCCTTGACAGATGTCTCACAATGCTCATGCAAAACCTATACTTGGA